TCTACTTCCTGTTGGTATTCTACTTATCCTCAGTCCCATGTAGAGAGGAAAGAAGGTGGTAAGGTTTTGGTAGGTGGAACACTTGTTTACTGCTCTCAAAATTGGCAAAGGCAACCCTGGACATTTTCTACCTGAGAAAAATTTACTTTGTTGATTATGGTTAGAAGCCAACTGAGTCTTTGCTCCAACACTTGGCAGCCATATGACCTTGACAAGCAATATGTCAATCTGTAACTTGCAAATAAAACCACTACTGGCCTAGCCTCTCTCAAAAAGGGAAGGTGTGGTGTCTGATGACATCAGGGACATAAAGGCACCACCTATGCTCTAGTCATAACTTTTAAATGATTGGAACTGCCTGGGGGCAGAAATTTCAGAAGGAAAGGTAGACCTGTTCCCAGTCCTGGAAAGCAAATTACTTGTACCCCTGAAGGCAAAGAGTAAGTCAGAATTCAAATTTTTAATAAGACAGATGACTTCCAAACCTTTTCTCACATCTACATCAGTACTGGTTCTCCAAAGACAGTCTGAAGCTCACTTCATAATTCACATTGTCTACTTTTCTTTTATACGATGCTGACCAATGCAGCCAATGTAATTTCAAAATCCATAGAGGAAATAAAAATTAACACTCCAATTACATCTTACTACACACAAAAACCTTCAAGTCAGGAGTCTTACTCATCTTTTCATCCAGTATTTAACACAGTCAGTACAAAAATAAAAGCTCAATAAAAAATTGCTGAATGAGTGACTAAATGAAAATCCGTGTGTGTGTGTGTGTGTGGTGTGGTGTGTAGTGGATGTCAGTGTAATAAGCTACCAACTGTACATCCTGGGAAATTTTTCAAAGTAATTAGACATTTGAGGTCTACCTAGGGCTGAACCTTTACTTCGTATAGTGCTTGTGTGAGCACTTATTACAAATTAATAAAATGTTTTAAATGAATCAAGAATTTTCATTAAGTACAGTTGACACAATTAAAGAGAAAAACAAACATTAATCATACTGCTTACTCCAACAGTTCTTCAGCTTTTCAAGCCTTAATTTCACTTCAACAAATTGTGTCCTTTCTCTATAACAAACATACAGACCTTGGCAGAGGAGCGGGTACCAATATCGCCATTGCCTTTGGAGCATTATAACCATACCAACTACCCAGCCAGTCAGCTCAGACCTCATGTCCCTCACAAGCTTAAGGACCTCATGCCATAGATTTTAACACTTTTTATGAGGAAATAAATCATGGCAATGCCAGGCCAGATATTCACATGGTACACAAGCTTTACAATGCTCAAACCCAGCATCTGTTCCAAGGAATGCTGCCTCAGATGCTATATGTGAATAGAGATGTAGCCTTCACTGTGTCTGTGTGGAGTACAAACGCCCTTTGACTATGTAGTGGAGGCGCTGGCTAAATATATCTGGCCACCTTTGCATTGGAAAACTTCCCCAGCAAGTTTTTTTTCAGAATGATGCCTGAACCAGCACCACTGGCTACTACTATATCACAGGAGTTAAAGAAGGTGTTCGGCTTCATCCAGCACTTTGTATTGATGAGACTTACATTGCTGAGTGGGAGTAGAAGCCATTCAATGACACTCACCAGTTAAAACCACTTGCCTGCATAGCAACCTGCATGTCCTAAGGTTGCTACCCACCAAGGGTAGAACCGTAAGATAGAAAACCAGTCCCGTTTCCCTTAATTTTTAATTATACTTTTTTTACTTTTATTTTTCATTTACTCTTCAATGAATCAATCAAATTGTGTGTTGGTATATTCAATTTACTCTCTTAGTGTCTTTTTCTTCTCTGCTATTCCTCTACTGAAAAAGTAGATTCAACAGCTCATTATGTTGCAGAGGAAAGATACCAATTTCCAGCTCTCACTTATGAAATATAACATTGGGTAAGGAGTATTGCTTTTAAGAAAACGTAGGCAGAGAAGAATCAAAAGAATATGAATCCTGAGTGGGCTAGCCTCTGGTTGTGTAAATGTAATAGTGTCCCAATCCTTCTGTGCAACACTGAGGACTGCAAATGAAATGGAGCTTATTCATTTGTTTTTATGATTGATTTGATGTTCCTAAACTCATTGCTTGCTGGTACTGAAAGAGATGTAAGAATGGGATTTCAGGGAGGGTCCTTTATCCCAACAAAAACAATTAGAAACACTTTATGTGAATTTTTATCAAGTTTTCCTTTGCCAGAACCTTCAATCACTCAAGCATTTCATTCATCACTTTGGGTCAAATCCTTAGTGGGAGTAAATATATGAGACAAAGTCCTTTCTTTCAACTCAAGTGGGGAGAAACAAACACATAAAATAATTAGATCATAGAGAAGGAGTACTTAAATTTAGCTAAGAATTAGGTATGACTTTTCAAAGGTATTCATGTCTGAGAAGTTCAAATCTCCTTATCAGCACCTCAAGGAAATGACCTTAGACATGTGGCAGAAAACCTCTGACGTCAATTTGATTATTTGTAAATTTGAGATGATTATACCTACCTGACAAGGTTCATGTCAACAGAAATGATAGATGCTCATCAAAGTGTCATAGGAGTGTTACCATAGTTAATATACTCCTCTGATCTTTGCCCACCACCATCCACACAGAAGCAAGTACTTTAGAAAGTGTAGCACCTGTTCATACAGCTTCAAGCATTTCAAGAAATGAACATATTAGCACAGTACCTAAAATTCAATATCTTGAAAAATTTAATTGCTTCTTATTTTTGTTCTAGCCTCGTGCATTTTTTTTTAAGAAATGAACCATGTTTTGTTGAGGGCAATGCTATCATATTCATCTACACAAACCCAGTCAATATGCATTGATTTGTGCTCTAACATTCATAAAACAATGGCTCAGTTTAAAAGTAATCTCTGTATTTAGGTCTATTTTATGCCACAAATGAACAACTAATAGAACTCTAGTTAATAATGGCCACATCCGAGAGAACACTAATGCAACAGCCTGACTGCAAGGAGCCTTGGAAGAAACATAATTCATGTTATATTCTCATAGCAATTTACTTTTCCCCTTACATTTTTCTGGAACCCACTGTGTGTAGACTGATAAACTGGGTAATATTGGGAGATGCAAAGTATCCTTAGATAAATTCAAACAGAAACCATCACAAACTTTGATATCGCTCCCTTCCAGGGGTGAGATCTGTAACACCACTTCCTGGATAGGGGCAAGCCTGTCACTGCTTTGATCAAAGAAGTAACATTCTGTGATCTTTGAGGCTAGGTCACCAAAAGCCATGCAGTTCCACCTGGTTCTCTCAGAATCCTTCCTGATGCTCCCCCTTGGAACGCTCCCACTGAGAGCCCAGCCACCTCACTACAGAGGCTCCTCCACATGGAGAGGCCACGTGGATGTGCTCCTGTCAACAGCTCCAGCTGAGCCCAGCCTTTGCATCATTCTGGCCCATGTATCAGACATAAAAATAAAGAAGTTTCCAAATAATTCCAGCCCCCGATCATCTGAGCCATTGCTCAGCCATTTAAGTCTTTGCAGCTGAAGCTCCAGAATTTGAAAGAAAAAAACATCCCCACATACCCTGTCTGAATTCCTAACCCACGTTTGTTGTTGTATTGCATGTTGAGATGCTTTCTTTTGCAACAATAACTGGAAATGGTGGTCCATGTATGCCATAAATGGCAGCGATTAAAATATCTAACATTTAGGTAACCTAAAGAGATATGTGTTTTCATGCTGGAAGCTAGAGCTTGTCTGAATAAAAAGGGAGGTTTCTGGAGATCAAGGTTGATCTCAATACCAATAAAAGTTTTTAATGAGTGCTGGAACAACTCATGTCCACCCCCCCCCCTCCCTCCACACACACACACACACACACACACCTTTGGATGCACACATAGTATTTTAACTGCATTTGCTAATTTACCAGTCAAGTCAGAAAGACAAAAAATAAAAAATCAACATTTTTTGACTGTCTTGTCTTGGTCAGTTCAGTCCCATCATCTAGATATGAGAGATAAATTGGAAAGCAAAATGCACTTGAGTGGCATATGTCTAGTAACTATAATGTCAACCCTGCTATTATAAAATTACTTAAGAAATAATATCGCCCTAACCGGTTTGGTTCAGTGGATAGAGCGTCGGCCTGCGGACTGAAGGGTCCCAGGTTCGATTCTGGTCAGGGGCATGTACCTTGGTTGCGGGCACATCCCCAGTAGGGGGTGTGCAGGAGACAGCTGATCGATGGTTCTCTCTCATCGATGTTTCTTACTCTCTATCCCTCTCCCTTCCTCTCTGTAAAAAAACAATAAAATATATTTTTTAAAAAAAGAAAAAGAAATAATATCATTGGTTCTTCTCAGTGTTGTTCAGGAAAATGCAAACTCTAAATTTTAAAATTTCAGATCTTAATACATATAAAGGACAAAGACCACAAAAATGTAAACTAAATAATATTCATAACTGCAAAGATCTCAGTCTTTTTTAATGAATAAAATACCTTTTCATTGTTAAAACTTCCCCATAGCCTCAGTTTAACTCAACATTTTTTTCCTAAAAGACTTTTCATTACTAATTAACTTCCATAAAAGCAGAAGACATCTCCTTGTGCACCGAAGGTTGTAATTTTCCAAAGCTTTGACTTTTGTTTAATACTCCGTAAAGAACATTGTGTATTTTTGCTGAATTTCAAAATGCTACCATTCTATGAGGGAAAGAACTAAGTGCTAAGTGAAATGTGAAACCAAAGTCTTCCTTGGAAACATGCTCCTCTAAGAAAAAAATTAGAATGTGCCAAATATATCCCTACAAATAAAGAAAGGACAGTCTTCCTGATATCTACTCCAAGAATAACCTCCCTGGGGAGAATTTTGAAAAGATTTGAGCATTTTAAATGCCCTGAACTAAATTAGCTAATTAAAAATATGGGTGAGCAAAGTCCACTGAGGTTAAAGGGAGAAGAATAGTCAGCAATCATTTATAATAGTGCCCTGTTCAAGAATTTCAAGATACCTGATTAACAGTGGCAATTCTCATTTAGATTCATTATCTGATGGAGCAAAGTTGTTATTGATCCAACAGTTGACCTCACTGCAGGCTTGGGGTGTGACAATAATAATTTCTCCATATACGGTGCCTGCAGTCATTGACAGGTTGAACAATGATTAGATGAAACAGATGATTAAAGAGCCAATTCCCAAAAACTCTCATTCCATTTCTATTGATGTTTCAGACTTCCCGCATGCTTCATTTCTTACCTTCTTATCCTTCCTTCTTTATTTCTTCCTTTCCTCTCTTAAAATGATTTATTAGGTTTCTGAAAAGGAAGTTTTAGTAGAGTTAAAATGGTTAGAAATCTTTTCCTCTACCCGCATAGATTCAGTGACTGGGGGAATGCAAATTTAACTGGCAAATGACCCATCAGCAGGAGAAAAATAATACAAGTGTATTAACAGTTTGCATGCACAGGAGTTCACAGAAAAAAAAAGTGAAACTCAAGCAAATAGACCCAGGGGCTTATATTTACCATTTTAACAGAGGGAAGTAGGTTGGACTTTGAGGAACAATAAATTGTAGAAAGGTGACTAGGAAATATGGGGGAAACTAATGGAGGAAAAGGGTTATTTTAGTAAGGTTTGGTAGTGCAGACTCAGTGCAGAGTATAGTGATAAGCGTTGCTCTTCCATTCCTGGTACAGGGCAGGAGAGGGCAAAACACTCTTCTTATATCTTTTGGTTCTCATTTGCCTTCCACTTAAAATAATCCTTGTGCCAAAATGGCATATTTGCGGTTGAAAAAAATCTGGACCCCTTCAAAATTCTTACTTTCACTTCAACATACATATCGTAATAATAGTGACTAAGAATGTCTCCTATATCCACTATATAAAATGGCAATTTAACACAAGGGGGGGAAACTTGACCAAATGGTCGGTTCAAAAGACTATAATTTTCATGAATAATGGAATGTAGACAGGAAATCAATGCTTTCAGAACTTTTTCTACTAAAAATTCATGAAATGTCTGAGAGCAATAGGCTTGAGCTACATCAACACAAAGCTGAAACATTTGGAGGAGAAGAACAAAATGCAAGCAATTATCCAGATACCTTGTCTACACAAAATTCAGCCATCCAGATGTTTGCTTTTCCTAGACCAAACATCTAAATGATTGATGGAATTCCCCTCATTTCTACTTGTGTATGTGAACATCCCTTACCTACTCTTATTTTAACAATGAGCACATCCCCTGAAGTGGGACACTAATCTGTCTCTTCTGTACAACTCTTTTTCTTCTTTTAATTCATGTGTATTTTGTAAAGAACCAATTAATGAAAAAAAAAGTAAATTGTCTGTATCTTCTTATTTTGGAGTACAGTAACTATAGAGCAATGGCTGGGTGGTTTGAATTTTCCTTGCAACATCTAGCACACCAGGTGTAGTCAATAAACATTAAGCCATCAAATAAATCAGAATTCCAAGCTGTGGCCTGCATTGAAGAATATGTTATAGTTAGTTGCTTTTGCAGTGGGTGAATTTTGAAAAAAAAAAAAACACTCAATTGATTTGCTTTTCTCAAACCTTAATGTGCATACAAATCTCCTGGGGATGTTGTTAAAAATGCAGATTCTGATTCAATAGGTCTGGATTGAGGAACTACATTGCGTTTCCATCAAACTCCCAGGTTACACTGATGTTGCTGGTCCATAGCTGAGTGGCAGGCAGGTTTATTATTGCCAAGGAAAAAAGACTAAATCTGCCCCTTCACCAAATCTAAAGAATGTCCATTGTAAATAATAGTCCAAATATATTTAACTAGAGGCCCAGTGCATGAATTCGTGCATGAGTGGGGCCCCTCAGGGTGCCCTGTGGGGATTGGGCCCCCACTCTCATCCGCCTTGGCCTGGCGCCACCCACTCACCTGCTCCACCATCCCGCCACGGTCCCGCTTTCGTCGGGGCCCATTGGGGCCGGCAGCGCCTCCACTGCCGCCCGCTGCCAGCGCTGCTTCGCCGATGCCCACCATGTTCCGTGCCACGCCCTGGTGGTCAGCGCATGTCATAGCAAGCAGTCAAACTCCCACTCTCCCAGTTGAACTCCTGGTCGAATGATCACCTGAGGGGACAATTTGCATATTGGGCTTTTATTATATAGGATTATTAAAGGACATTTTTTAAAATATATTTTATTGATTTTTTCCAGAGAGGAGGGGAGAGGGATAGAGAGTTAGAAACATCAATGAGAAAGAAACATCAATCAGCTGCCTCCTGCACACTCCCTACTGGGTATGTGCCCGCAACCAAGGTACATGCCCTTGGCCAGAATCGAACCTGGGACCCTTGAGTCTGCAGGCCAATGCTCTATCCACTGAGCCAAACCGGTTAGGGCTTAAAGGACATTTTTAATAAAACATCACTTTTTTTAAGTCTGGAATTTTTTAATAAATCTAAACCATCAAGACATTTAAAAAACTCTCAAAATAGATTCTGTAATCCAAAATTAAAAGGGCTAATTCCCTGAGAAAAAAATGGTTTACAAAATACTAATCAGATAAGAGTTAATTGGAGGAAATAGCCAAAATAATAAGAATAATTTTAAAACTAGATGTAAAAATATAAACCAACAGTTACTTTAGTACAGGTCTTGAAACTGCCTCCCCCACCCCACCCACAAAAAACAAACAAAACAAACAAACAAAAAACAAACCTCAGTTTTTTAGGCCTACTTATAATAAGAAAAATGGAATTATAAAATAGTTACAAGTCTAGAATAATAAACATCATAAACACATTCATGATTTCAATAGATTAACAGACTGAATGGCAAATTTTGAGAAAATCTTTATGATTCCAAATTATATAAAGTGATTTCTTAAATTGTTCCCTTTACCATTATACCACAATCATCAGGTAGTGTTTCAAACAGAAAAATATATATATTCATTTAATCAGCATTTGACTCAATCACTTTGGGAGAACACTGTGCTTGGCACTCTCCAGAGTTGTAGTGCTGATCTGACCTGGATTCTATGATGGACCTTGTAGTGTAATAGGGAGAAAATATGCAAGCATAAATAACTACAATATAAATTTAAAGTGTAATTGACAAAGCCCTTGGAACTAAGAGGCAAAACTGTGAATCAAATCCAGCTGGTTGGAATGCCATTTTCAAATCAGCTTCTGATTTATTCAATCCTGAAATTAAAACAATTACTTACTTGGCTATATCTTCACAAAGAAGAAAAGAAATTCTAGATTTGCATGCTTCTTTTAGAACATCACTTTGTCATGCAGGGAATACTGATTTTGTGTACATGCTAATGTAAATCAGATGTCAGTTGGGTATCCCTCATCTCTTTGGAGATCTCAGAATAACTGTCTTTAGCTCTCAACAGTTCCATGGCCTAATAGAAGGCCAAAGTATGGCTCTAAAGTTTCCGCAAATTTCCATGGTTCAATTTCTCATGGCCTCCTTTGCCTTCTGGGCTTATGGTTTCTCTGTAACACACTACATTAACCTAGTCACAAATGAGGCTCAGCTTACCCAAAACAGGTATACTCTCCCAAGATCTTAAAAATTTTTGAAAATTTTTATGAGGAAATGGGAAGGAATTACTTCAAAGCAAAGCAAACAATACTTGCAATTAAACTATTGTGTTTTTTAAATATTTGTTGTTTCTCCAACCTGTGAATTTTCACTGGCCCCCATCTTCTAACCATCTTTTGGCTCTTCACCCTTACTCCTCCTCCCTTCTCTTTCCTCTTTCTATCTTCTCACCACCTCTGCTGGGTGTGTGACCACAAAATTCTTTCCTCTATGCTCATAAAAAAGTAACTTTCCTCTTGCCCTAACTTCTTGGTATCACCTAATATCCTTAACTATGATATACCAGAAGTGCTTGGAATGTGTGTGGGGGGGGGGGCGGGGGGGGGGGGGGGGGGGGAAGAGACTCTATTCCAATCTTTACCTATGAAGATAGAGCATGCTTTCAAAGGAATCCAGGTGAAAATAATATTCTGTGCCTCATTAAGCAATTAAATAGCTCAATTAGAAGGTAATTGCATTTGCTCAAAAAGAAATGATGGCAACTTGGACTAGGGTGGTGGCAGTGAAAATAAGGGGAAAAAATGGACCAATACAAGAGATCATTAGGAGTTAGAAGCCACAGGTATTGGTGCTTGATTGAGCAGGTAGGGATGGAAAGGAACAATCAAGTACAACCCCTATTTCTCTGGCTTAGGCAGCTGGAGAGTTGGTGGTCCCATTTATAAAGATAGCGAGTCTTAGGAGGGAGCAGGTTCAGAAGGAGCATGATGAGATTGGCTTTGGAAATTTTGAATATAAAGTGCCCATGAAACAACTTCTGGGAGATGCCTCCTAGACAGTTGCATGTGTGAGTTTGGCACTCAGAGGGATAGTGACAGTGAATACAGGCTCAGGCTTTGGATTCAGAAATATCTGGCTCCAAGTCCTAGCTCTGCTATTTAATAGGTGTGTCCCTTGGGCAAGCTACTGAAACTCTCCATGCCTCAGTTTCTTCATCTGTACAAGGATTACTATTATACTTCTACTAGAGGTGCATAAAATTCGTGCACTCAGGGGATCCCTCAGCCAGGTGTGCCCTCTTGCAGTCCGGGAGCCCTCGGGGGATGTCCGACTGACAGCTTACATACCAGAGATAACATATATGAAGCTCTCAGTTCAGCTTAATAAAAATAAGTAATTCAAAAGCTGTCAGTCGGACATCCTTAGCGCTGCCGTGGAGGCGGGAAAGGCTTCCGCCATCGCCACTGCGCTTGCCAGCTATAAGCCCAGCTTCTGGCTGAGCACCAGGGGGCAGCTCTTGCATTGAGCGTCTATCCCCTGGTGGTCAGTGAGCATCATAGCAACCAGTCATTCTGCTGTTGGGCCGAAACCAGCTCTCCAACATCCCCCAAGGGGTCCCAGATTGCAAGAGGATGCAGGCCAGTCTGAGGGACCCCACTAGTGCATGATTGGGGTCGGGGAAGGACGCAGGAGGTTGGCCAGCCAGGAAGGGACTGCAGGAGGGCTCCAGGGTGTGTCTGGCCCGTCTCACTCAGTCCCGATCGGCCGGACTCCAGCAGCAAACTAACCTACCAGTCAGAGCATCTGCCCCCTGGTGGTCAGTGCACATCATAGGGAGTGGTTGAGTGGCCTTAGCATTCATTAGCATATTATGCTTTGATTTGTTGAATATGCTAAAGTGTCTGGCCAACCAGACAACCATACACTTAGCATATTAGGCTTTTATTATATAGGATGTTGTGAAGCTA